AACTTATTGATGCTATATTGCAGACTACATAAAAAATTAAACACTACCTGATCACTCTATCTCTTTCATGATAAATATGTGTTTACATTTAAGGCCAGTTCTATATAAATAGAAGAGCAAGGGATATTTGTGCTGCCTCTTCTACTCAATCTGTTCTTGCAGTTTCTGTGTAATTAGCATTAGATTTACTGTGGCAGCAACAGCAGGGCCAAGAACTGACTTTCAGACAGGACTTGCAAATGAAGGCAACTCAAAGGAGGATTTAAAAGGAACAATGACAATTCCAAACATTAAATATACAAAAGAAGCTAAAAGAAAAAACTGAAAGAAGCATTCTGACAAAATCATAACTCAGCAACAAAACACGGCTGTGTGGAAATGGTGATGTGGAACAAATCTGCACTGAAGTATAGTTGAAAGTAAAACCCAGAACTAAAGTATAAGTGGGATTTCATAAAATGTTTCTTTTTGTTTCTTTGCTTTTTTTTAAAGTAAGAAAGAGCCACAGTGATGAAGAAACAATGGTTACAGGCTACGGTTGACGGATCTTAATCAAAAGTGCTGAAAACGTGGTTTTAGTTGTTTCGTGAAAAACATCACACTTCCTCCGTTCTGCTTATGCACACTGTGTCCTATCTTGTCACATATGTGGGGACATCTAGAAAAATTACTGTACTTGTATCCAAACATAAAAAATTCAAACAGTTAGTGAAACATTAAGTCAATGAAGCTTGTTTATTGTCTACAATGCTCCCTTTTGTGTATAGTGTCTAGTTTGGAATGAAGAGTGTGTAATTAAAATTATTCCACTGCATCAGGGTAGAGTATGTTATTTCCTCTGTGACATTGTCTTTTTTTATATTAGTTCGAGACTGCTTGGCTACTGTGAATACAAGCTAAATTCAGTATGTACAGACTATGAGAGCTGCCAAGTGCCCTCTCTTAAGTGCCCTGGATTTTTTTTTTTTTTTTGATTAGATGAGAAAAAAAGGCCTTCAACCTTTAGGATTACTTGTATGTGTGCGTGAGTGTGAATGTGTTCATTTGTGTGGGTGTGTGTGCGCCTTCTTGTTCTTGTAGCTAAGTGAGAACACAGTTTTCGTATTTAACCAGTAAAGGGAGTGTGCACTTGGAGTGGGTTTGTCAGGTAATCTGTAACCTGGAATTGCACATGCTACAGTGGTGTGTAGCAGATGGGATCCAAGAGCAGCAAGTGTAGACCCTGCTCACCAATGATTTAAAGCTGCCCAGTCCAGGATGAGAAAGACATCATCTCCCCCTGAAAAAAAGAATTATTGCTGGCATGGATTTAAGTTAGATTTTAATTGATATTTATGGGTTTATCACTTTTTCTATGTTAAATACACATTCCTGCTGTGTTACAAGAAAAAGGATAAGCCTAACTGCATCTAAATAGTGGGATTGTATGACCTACTATAATTTTAGTGGGATTGTAGTATGTTTTACTTTCAAGACCTGATTTGCTGAACAAATTAAATATTGCCAGAATTCATATTCATATAACTTTGTTTGTTTAACCCTGACATCATCTATGCTTTTATTTTATTTATTTTAAAGGTAAAAGGCCAGACTCAGACAAGTAGGAGAAAAGGCATTTCTGTACCCTATCAGCCCAGGTGGATCCCCTGCCTAAATTTATTTCTTACATAGACATGAAAAGAGTCTTAAAGTTCAGGTATAAATCCCCTGTTTTTTTTGGCTGTTTTTTTTATCGCAATATGATATTAAAACAAATATTTAATGATAGTACTTAGACATAATTATTTTATAGTTTATGATGCTGAAAAAGAATGATTAGATACCGCAGACTTACGGTATCTAATATATATATATATATATATTAGTGCTGTCAAAATTATCGCGTTATTATCGCGTTAACGCGAGGCAATTTTAATGGCGATTATTTTTTTAACGTGAGATTAACGCTATGTGGTTTTATGGTACAATTTTCCAAGTACATCCCGCTGCAGCCTGCGGCAAGGCGGGGCTATTTTCCCCCAGTCTATGCATTTTCCATAGGCTTCGAGAGCGGAGCTCCTCAAGGAAAAAAGACGCTCATACACTGGGTTGGCGCTAGTGCCTTTTCTTTAAGCCCCACCACCAACAAACAAGTTGAGTGTCTGGTGCCTAGTAGCAACCTGAAATACGCTGAGAAAACAGATTACTGAGGTGAAATGTAATCTGCTACGGCACTCTTGCTGTCTGTGTACGCCACAGTTCAGTATCATGTGTGTCTGTGTGTGGGTGGGTGGGTGTGTCTGTGTGTGGGTGGGTGTGTGTGTGTTCTCATTTTTGTTAAGAGGCTGAAAAGTAACTTTCTACAGCATAGACTACCTCCATCTAGTAATGTCGGTCTATTGATTTTGATGTATTGATTGAAAATTGTTCATTATTACCTTGGTTAATTGACATCTAATGTTAACTCTACTACATTTTATAGAAGTAGGGTAAAATGCTTGTCTTTGTTCAAAAGACTGTATTAACTGTAAAGACTGTCTTTTATATCAGCCTGTTTTCAGGGCCTTTTTTTTGGCTACATATGTTATTTTTTGCTACATGCCTCCCAATCTTCTTGCCATATGTTTCTATGGCATAAATCAGTGTCTGTGTCCTGTTTTCATTTAAAAAAAAGAACATTGGCACAAACCTAGCCTGTATGTATTTTTTGTATGTCATTGAGAGTATTTAATTGATTTTCAATCAGAAAGAAAATGTGTGATTAAAATGCGATTAATCGCGAGTTAACTTAGGCATTGATGCGATTAATCGCGATTTAAAAAATTTAATCGATTGACAGCACTAATATATATATATATATACATATATAAATGTAATTGTTTAAAACAAACAATCCACCTATGAAACCATCTGGTCTTTCAAAAAATAAAAACCAATAAGCAGTAATAAAACCATAAACCAGTGCATGTCAGCATGAGCGTCTCAGTTGCTCAGCAGGCTCCAGCTGTTACCTCAAAGAGCATCTAACAATCTCTTACCTAAATAGGCTCCTTTAAAAGTTACAGGCAGACCACAGCAGGACACACAAGGAACTATCATTTTTAATAGCAGGTTTAAATTACATTTCCAATAAAGAATGAAATAAAAAAAAACCCTGGTAAAAAGTTAAACTCCAAAGTTAAAGAGTATGAAATCCCAAAATCACACTTTATCCACTAAAGCCTATCCTGTATCGAAGCTATGGGTCTCCCGAAACACATTCTCCTCCCTAAATTAAGTTGTGTACTGGACTTCTTCTAATCATATAACTCAATGTTGTACTAAAAAATATACTTTTAAGAATGGTACTATAAGCTGTAAACTAAACATCTCTTTTACTGTTACTAAAGTCTTTCTTAAACATGATAACTGGCAGACTTGGTATGAAAGTTGATTTATTTCTTTGAAAAAATAATCAAATCATAATTACAATTTAGATACAAATGCAAAATGTGCAGAAATACTCCCTTTCTGGCATGTACTGAGGGTTAGGCATTAAAAAAAGTATTTTAAAATTACTACTAGAGAATAATAATTTATTGGAAGAAACTCTAAACACTCTTTCCTATCTCAAATGTACATCAAACTAATACACCCTAATAATGAGTACTTTAAACTGATACAAACTGTGGGTGTAAAGGCATGATTTCCCCCTCCCCCAGTTTTAAAAATAGAAGACCAGTTCTTGCTATGCTATTCAGTCACCGATGGCTGTGAGCATAAAAATCACACCTCAAAGTGTGACAATACCCATTAGCTTTCAACCAGGTTGTTGAGGCAGACTTCCAAAGCTTCTTGTCATGTTATATTTCATGTTTTAGAGCCCATTCTTTTATATAAATACCATCTAATTACACTTAAAATACACTTTTGGTTTGGTGTTATTCTTTATTTCCCCCTTTTAATTAATAAATAACATATCAGCTTCCCAGCTTTAAAGCAATCAACACTATTAAAAATAATTTCCTCTTTGTGTAAAAGTTTCAGTACATTTTGGAAAATGAAAAATAAATAAAAAACTTCTATTTATCTGTCTAGAGCACATTTAATGTATGATGCTAAATTAGGATAAAAGCCAAATGATGGAAGATAAAAAGATTAATTAACAAACGTTCTTAAGTATTTGTTTGGAATGGTATTTGCATCTGGATGTCAGTACCAGAATGCTGAATCCCTTGGAAATGCAACTCTTTTCTCTATTCTATAAATGTTCCTCCATTAAAATTTCTCGCAAGCTGTTTGAGATGCTTCATGAGAGATAAGCATAGAAGATCACATCAACAACCTTTTCCCAGACCACCTGAAAACCTCATTTGAAGTGCATCAAAGCACTTGAAAAGAAATTAAATTGTTGCGAGGATGGTGTCTGACAGCTCATCTATAGAAAGTTGGGTGAGGGGATTTAAGAGAAGCAAAACACCAACAGAAGGCAATAATATTCTGCAAATGAGAAGAACGCAAGTGCTGGATTCCCCACCAGATGGAGAAGAAAACAAACCTGGCTGCTGCATTTCTTGGTTGCTAAGCACCACCTGGAGGTAATGAATGTGCTGCTGGTCTAAGAGGCATCAGAGACGACGTGATAGAGTCAAACAGTGTATTAAGAAACAGTAGAGGATGCTGCTTTGTCCTTGATGTGGGTCACAGTGGCCAGTATATGTGTCCATGAATATTTATGCAAGCATACAGACTTATTCAATGATGAACAAAACAGGCTATAAATGAAAAAAGGGTCTGGGTTGTATGCTTTTGAAAAAAAGGCCAGGTATGTTGGCAAAAGATCAAAACTCCCCTAAGTTATGGATCTGCTGGAGGTAAAGCCAATTTGATCTTCTTGTGCAGTATCAGTCATAAGATGGAGTAACATTGTATACCACTCTATGATATTTTGAATTGGATTCTATTGTCTAGAAAAGGTCATTTTTCTGAGGCTGAATCTAAAGATGCCTAAAGGCAGAGATTTATAAAGAAAGATGACTCACCACACAGCCGGTAGAATCAAGCTTCCGGTCAGATATGCATCGGAAGTTGCGGCTGCAGCCACCATTATCTTTGGTGCAATCTCTGACAGGTCCAAAAGAGTCCAGGAGAACCTCCAGAGAGTCAAATGAAGAACTGATCATCAGCTCCTCTCTGCAGCATAGAGGGAAAACAGAGGGCATGTGTGTTATTTGGAGTACTGTTTGGTGTTATTAAGCCTGTATTGTTTGCACATAAAAAATAAATGTAACTTAAGAATATACAGATTTTACTATAATATCCTGGAATTATTCATGTATAGCTGTATTTTAAAAATAAAAAAACTAGGCACTTGAGAATTCTTAAGGAAAAAAAACTCTGCATCTTTTAGCTTCTAGGGGCGCTAAAAGCAAACCAAGAATACATCTGATCAGAAAAGTTTAATTTGTTTTGTTGCCTAACAACTTTAACCTTAGTTATCTCTCATGTTGTAGAGGAACATTCTGATCACATGACTGATTCAGCAATGGATCCAACCCTCTTAAGTTACATACTGTTTTGAGTAGGGCAGCCCATACAAATAATTGATATACATCAAGGGCTGTATTTTCAATTTAAAATAAATGTTATATTTCAAATTTTGCTGATATTTTAGGCTCGGTGTGAGCGGCCAACTGGCAAGGCCAACTGGGGTTCAAGGAGATTAAAGCAGATAATGACATCAATAAAATAAGTTATTTGGCGCACAGGCCCTGGCAGAAGACTTCAATGCTGTGAATCAACATGCGCTCGGATGAGTAACCTAGAAAGGGATTAGATTAGCCTTCCCTCTGGGGCCCAGACACTGGTCGTGGAATAAACCAGAGTGAGTGGGAGTGATAATAGTCTGAGAATGAGGGAGGAGTTTGGGTGGAGGTGGGTGAAAGTTTGCTTGCGGGAGAGAGAAGCTTGACCAGGAGCTAAATGAAGGGAAGCCTGAAAGATGATTGGATTCAGAGAAGGAGTGTTCCTGTGTTGATCGACAGAAGTGGAACATTGGACATCGCAGGTGGTTCAGGTGAAGCTAATAATCTTCCAGATTTAATTCTTGGTTAAGCTACATAAATATATATTTAACTGGTTTCACTGGGATTTTATCTAACAGACCAATGCAAATTATTCCATGCTTTTTGTATTTATAAAAAATTGACAATGGCATTCTTAAGTGTTCAGCCTCCCTAAATACTGTATGGACTTTGAGGTTGATTTTCTAAATGCGTCACACATTAATATTCTGTTACATTTCCAAAAAACAGATGTAAAAAGAAAATATGTTGAAAAGTATATTGTTATAAACCTTTTAATTTCAAGAAGCAGTTTGTTCACATATGTCACCTCACAAACCTCTAAAACTTTCAGGAGAGTTTTTTACTGTTATTCAGTGAATAGATAACACACAGAGCAAAAAGAAAAAAAAAACAGATAATAAGGCATTTTCAGGTTGAAACTGAACTGTTGAACTGTACAATAGGCGTTGTTGTTGTACAAGTAGGCCTACTCCCACAGATGCTAAAAACTGTGCAAATGGACTTTAGAATGTGATAAACATTGTAAATGACTCCATTACCAGCTGAATCAGTTGCATGTTTATAAAGTTTGGTTTGTTGCAAACAACATAGTTTATCATTTCTAACAGTAGCTGGAAAAATTATCTTTTTAGCTCCTAGGATGCAGCATTCTGCCACTATAAGAGCTCTGTAACTAGTGGTGTAGTCCAGGGTGTACGGGGTTATATGGAATAAACCCACTTTTTTAATCAGCATTGCGTTTACCCACGTCTAAATCCCCCTAGATCTACACTATTTAGCAGAATCTCCAAGCCAAATTTCCTACTTATTACTACGACGGGGAAGCCATCATCTGCAATACTCTACTTCTAATGGGCTAGTACTCACTGCCTTTACTAATTACATTGGTTAACTGTAGGCATGACAACCAGTGAGCCAATCAGAGGCAGAGAAGGGCGGTTCTTGCTAAGGTTAGTATTGCTCACATATTAAATAACATTTAAATGTTTACTTTAAATGGTTTGCCTTTGGGATTATCAATGAATCAGTGATATGAACCAAGCTAGTCAAACAAAACTTTCATTTCCTAGTAGCAAACATCCTCATAAATTAACATTAGCCAACAGTTCGGCTAATGTAGCGACGCTATCCCGCTATAGTTAAACCTAAAGTTGATGCCCGCTTTGCACCCCATCCTCGTCAGACAAGATGCTGTCATAGAAGCGGAAGGTGTCTCTTTGACTTAGCCAAAGATGTCGGTACAACTTTGGATGAAGACGTAAACTATGCTAGGTGGGCGTGGCCTTTTTCTTTGTTGGACCTCATAAATAATGTTAATAACATGTCAGGGGTCAACAGTACTGAGTTAGGATAATATATCACTGTTTATGTGTTGCAAAGGCATTTTTATATTAAATATTATGTTACGTATTGTTTCATTGACTAATTTAAATGATGAATTCTAATCATCATACAATATACACATATATATCTAATGAGTTACACTATAATAGTCTTTATTTCAATTTTAAGAATGTATCAACTTTTCAGTTTATCCAATTGGTTTTGATGCATTTGATTTTGATTTTTAAATCTAAGCCGAAATATGAACAAGGATGTCAAATTCACATCTTTAATGTTTTATTTAAATAAATGTTTAAAAAAATAACTGATTCACCATGTTTGCCTCATCTGTATTTTATATCCACGCAGGCTGCCTGTGTGACCAGTAATACGGACATACTGCTCCTGAGTTATTCTAATTTTAATAGCTGCTCAATCAGCTATTAAAATTGCTCAAACAGACAAAGAAACTACTGACTTGATAAGTGAGATAATAGGTGTCATCCATAGGGTTCAGTTATTTCATAATCCTTCCTCCCTGAGATCAAAAACAGAAAAAAAACCAGAAACCATTTTGAAATGTCACAAAATACAGAGTAGATGATTTTTTTTCGAAAGTCTAAATTAATTTGACCCACTTGGTAATAATTGGTAATAATTCATATTTATTTGACTATTTCTACCAGAAGGTGTTTAAGTTAGCAAAGGATCCAAATACATGGAAAGATGAATATACTGCACTGAAAATAGAAATAGAAAATAGAACCAACTTCAGTTTTACTTTGCAAAGGTAAATCACATTGATATTTTAACACATAAGTATCTTTATATTTATGCACTAACCATCATTTGCTAGTAAAGCATAGCCACACAATTCCCTCGCTTTCAAACTCAAAGGATGTTATCTCAGAAAACCAATTTAATTGCCTGTGGCATTGTTTTCATTTAATCTGAGGGCATCATTTGAAAGGAACATTGACACATGATGAAACCAACAGCAAGAGCAAATTACTAAGGAATCCTTATGGAAGACAAGAGGCCTCCACATTGATAAAATGTATTATGAAATCCAACAGAAATTTCTGAAGAGATAACGATTTTAAATGGTAATGATGTATGGGAGTATTTATAATAAACTCCCACAAAATTGGCGCTTGAAGTGGAGTTCATTGTTCATTGTACGACTGCTAATGTCTGAACAGTGGTAGTGAAACATTTGAAGTTTGGCTGAAATTGGTAGTCAGACATTTCTTTGAAATTAGTTAAATTGCTTTAAATATAGGTTGTTAAATATAGAACAGCATATTATACTCCCTTGTCTGGGTATTTAACTCTTTGATGTTAATTATTGGGTACCAGAATATAGCCTATCTTTCAAAAACCACTTCAAGTACACATGCCTCTGGTGAAATCACAAAGGTTTGCTTTTTAGATATATTTTTTTCTTTGTTATTTAGGCTTTTCTTCAGTTTTTTCACATAAAAATAAATCTAAGATAATATTAGACTGATCATTTGTTCAAAAGTGAGAAAATGTATAATCGTAAACAAACAGGAAATGAAATGCAGTAGTGCTAAATATACTGTATTCACTACTCAATGGGTTTCTTAAATTTGTGTGTTTTTTGCCAGACTTTAATGTTTATAAAATACAATGTATTATTTTAAAATCACAATTTTGTTTGATAATAAAAAAAACTAAAAATAAACTACCCGAACCAACCTCACCGTACGTTAAAAAAAGTAATACACCTGCAATTTTTAATAACCTGCCACTTGAGTGGGAGGGGAAGTGTGTACATTGCTGTCTAAGCACAATATTTCTCCAAAAGTGTTTGGGATCATAATAATATTTTCTGGTAGTGTGAGAATGCCTTTTTCTTTTTTTTTTGGTCATCCTTAGATGCAGGTTCTACACAGCCTTGCTCTTATTATTAAATCCCAAACAATAGCAAATAAGGTCTGCAGTGCTTTAGACGTTGTTCTGAGTGTTTTTCTGACATCCTGGATGAGTTGACAAAAATGTCCTTGAAGTAAAAATCTTACCAATAAAACCATACAGAAAATGGAGATAAAATAACTTTTATGGATAAGAAATATGCCTTGCAAAAAGTAAAGATTTCTGTAAAAGAGTAAATATAATTCATGGTGTTGTATTTTCCCTGCTGTAACCTTATAGTGCAATAGATTTAACAAGATTAAAGTGAATAATATTTAGGATATTAAATTGAGTATATACTAGAATTTCAAAAACATGCAGTTTAAGGGACCATTTATTCAATAAGGTAGAGACAAGTTCTGCCTAAACATTTGCTGTTATGTTATTTTTTTGCGCTTAACCTACAGCTCATATTCTCAATCTATTTATTTTTACGTGGTTAATATTGTGATACTAAAGCTGTTCTAAAAGTGCTGCATCTAAAAAATGTCTCAAGGCAATACCAGAATGTCAAAAACAAAGTGTGAAGAACCATAAAAGCTCTTCTCTTTCCTTTTCCTGAATCACTTGAACTTCTGTGACACCAGCTAATCAACTGAAAGATCAACGTTTGTTGCCATTTATCTTTCTGCAAGAAAGTTACAAATGACAATCAAACGCATGGGAATGCAGCACAGAAGCAAAGTAAATCAGCGTGTTTCAAGGTGTTAGCCGTGTTTTTCTGAGGCCCCTGAGGGACAGCTGAGGATCACAGATCAGAAGGAGATGAGCTATTTACACAGCGTCAGCTGCCGAATAAAAATAAAATGTTCAGAAAGGAAGATGAAAATGTGTGCATCTTCATTG